TTCCATACAATAAAGGCAAATTGAAAAAAGAAAAAGAAAGGAAGGAAAGGGAGAAAGGAAAGGAAAAACAAAAAAGTGGAAGAAGCAAAAAGAGAAAAGAACTACAGTTAAGACATAGAATGATTTTTCAGTAGGTAGTCACAATTTTGTAGTCCTTCTTCCCTTCTACTTCCTCATTTTATCCAAGCTTATCTTAATCTTCAAACCCATAAATCACCTTTTTTTTTCTTTCAGAAAAAAGTCCATGTAAGGTTTTTAGTCTCAAAAAAGGTTTTCCTTTTTTTTCTGATCAACAGACTAGTTTTCCAGTTGTGACTTTTTTCACAATCCATACTTCCACTGTGGGGATTTCATTGTGCTTGCATTATTGTCTGTGCAGTAATCAATCATAAAGAATTTCTGAGCATGTTCTCTTGCCTCAAGGACGTTAAGGGCGATATAGCCACCCATTGGACTTTCACGTCACCTATTCTGACCTAAATAAAAGAGCATCAGAGGACACACTGTGGTGTGCGTTTCTGGTTGCTGACTTTCCAAGTGGGATAAGTAATAGAGGAATAGGAGGCGTGGACAATTTCTTTTGTTTCAGATAGCATTGTTGATCATGTATTGCTCGTTTATTTTACTTCGTATCCTGCTTTCTATCCTGTAACTTAAACTGATGGACACGATAGGGTAATTTTTCAACCAAGCATTGACCATGCTTAGTTTCAATGAAATGACGGCCTTATATTCCCCTGGGCCCCAAATCTAAGAAGCTCTGGAAGCTGCTTGGAAACTTGGTAGGCGGATCTTCTTTGCGCCCAGCGCTAATAATGCATGCATGGGCTACTTCCTGCTGCTCTTCTATTCACAGGCTCCACCCCGCTTGACCTCTTCAAATTCTATGTTGAAGATCTGAAGGCCCGGTTCCATGATGAAAAAAAGATCATCAAGGATATTCTCAAGGTGCGGCTGGAAAGTTAACAACTGAATATGGTGTAGAAATACTTTTCGATGCAAAGCTATTTCTCTTGAGGGGATTATGTCTCTCTCTCTGTGATGCCAGTTAGCTGGGGCCCTTCTGAGGCTCTGCCATCATTATTTTTGGGAGAACCGTAAGGCATTCCCTTTGAAGCATCTTTCTTTTTACAGGGCAGAGGTCTGTCACATTCTGAGGCTTGCCTTTGCTTTAAAATAAAAGCAGGCAAGGGGAACTGGAGCTGATCTGCAATTCCAGCCCCTACCTGATCCAGAGAAAAGATCTTTTCAGAGAACCCTTAAAAATATTAAAAGTCTAAAGTGGATTTACTTTAGTATTCCTTGATTCCTAATATTTTAGAAGTAAACGACGGGGCTCTGAAGGAGGGAAAGTTTAACCATGGCCTTTTCTTGCCTCTCTCCTTTTTCCTTTCTTCTCTCCTTGGCAGGACCGGAGCTTCAGTGTGGAAATAAATACAACCTTTGAGGACTTTGCTCATGTCATCAGTTTTGACAAGCGTGCTGCCACGCTGGATGCTGGCAACATAAAGTTAACTTTCAACAGTGTGAGTGGGGCAGGGGGGGATGCTATGTTCTTCACCTTGATGACTCTCCCCTGTCATGTCCCAAAGGTGCTTTTTCAAAGGGCAACTGGACTTCCTTGTTTTTCTTCGAAGATACACTATATTGCCAAAAGTATTCGCTCACCTGCCTTTACTCGCATATGAACTTATATTGGCTCCCAATAGATGTTCAGGTGCAATTCAAGTTTCCTGGTTATTGCCTTCAAAGCTTTAGATACCATAGAACCGAGCTACTTGCAGGACTATTTATTATGTATGTATGTATGTATGTATGTATGTATGTATGTATGTATGTATGTATGTATGTATGTATG